GATTTCGTGGTGATCAGTGGATTCTTAATTCCAGTTCAATTTCCATCTGCCGTGGTGGGATTCGAACCTGGGTCCCCAGAACATCAGCTGGGTTTCTAGATTAATTGTCTAGCGATAATACCACTCGGCCATCACCTACCCCCGTTGATTTGATGGCTTATAATAGACGGAGAATCGTCGAATCTCAACTGTGTGAAAGCAGGCCATTTGGCCCATCAAGTCCACACTGATCCTCCAAAGAGCATCTCACCCAGACCCACCCTATCCCTGCAACCCTGCATTTCCTATGTCTGACCCACCTAGCCTGCACATCCCTGCACACTATGGACAATTTAGCACAGCCAATGCACCTAATCTGCATACCTTTGGACTGTGGAGGAAACTGAAGCACCCGGAAGAAACCCACACAGACACAGAGAGAATGTGCAAACTCTGCATTGAGAGTCGCCTGAGGCTGGAATCAAACCTGGGCCCCTGGCGCTGTAAAACAGCAGTGCTAACCCACTGAGCCACCATGCCACCATGCCACCAAGAGTATGGACCATACTCCGCTAACCCATACTTGCAAAACCCACAACAATTTTGCTGCTATTGGATGTAATTATGTGATTGGGCAGCACTTGCCGAACAATCCTGTTGTGCTAATAACTACAGTAACATAGACTTTTACATGCACCATAGAAAGCATTCTATCTGGGTGCATCACAGCTTAGAACAGCAGCTGCTCCGCCCAGGACCATAAGAAACTACAGGGAGCTGTGAACACAGCCCAGACCATCACACAAGCCAGCCTTCCATCCGTTGACTCCATTTATACTTCTCACTGCCTCGGGAAGGCAGCCAATGCCATCAGAGACACCTCCCAACCCGGTTACAATCTCTCCCAACCTCTTCCGTCGGGCAGAAGATACAAAAGCTTAAACACGTACCAACAGATTTAGAGACAGTTTCTTCCATGCTGCTATCGGACTTCTGAATGGACCTATCACATTTCAAATCTAATGCTGACCTTGCTGTTTGTGCAACTTCCCTGCAGTTGTATTTTTTGTTCTGTTCTGTTACCCTAATGCACTTTGTATGGTATAATCTGCCTGTATGGCATACAAAACAAAACTTTTCACTGTACCTCAGCACGTGTGACAACTATAACTCAAATCAAAAATAAACCAATTTAAGATAAAACACTCAAGCGTTTCCTATGGCTTATTTATGATGGTTCGAACTGACAAATTTCATATACAGAGCTCCCTTTGTCTGCACACGGAAGAAATAAGATAAAGCTTTGTGCCTTTTCTGTTACCAGGACCTTGGGGAGTTCCCCATTGCTTTCTCCGTGGCAAAATATTGACCAATCAGAGTCAATGTGCCCCTCCTTCCTGTGGTATGAACTGATGTGGTAGTTCACAATGTGGCATCTTGCTGATAGGGGCCAGACAAAAGTTCCAGGAAATCATGTTGTTCTTTTTAGCAATGTTTAAGCTTCTTATTTTAAATATCACTTGTACTGCCTCCCAGTCTGCTCCTTTGTTCACTATTTCTACTGCTATGACTATTATCTCTAGCCCTAATGTTATGACATTACTACTGTCGTTTCCACTTCAAGGAGCAGTGTTCCCACTAGAGTCAGAGCTGTACAGCGTGGAAACAGACCCTTTGGTCCAACTCGTCCATGCTGACCAGATATCCTGAATTAATCTAGTCCCATTTGCCAGCATTTAGCCAATATCCCTCTAAACCCTTCCTATTCATATACCAATCCAGGTGCCTTTTAAATGTTGTTATCATGCCAGCCTCCATCACTTCCTCTGGCAGCTCATTCCATACACACACCACCCTCTGTGTGAAAAAGTTGCCCTTGGGTACCTTCAGAATCTTTCACCTCTCATCTTAAATCTATGCCCTCCAGTTTTGGACTCCCCTACCCTGGGGAAAAGACCTTGGCTATTCATCCTATCCATGCCCCTCATGATTTTATAAATCTCTATAAGGTTACCCCTGAGCCTCCAACGCTCCAGGGAAAATAGCCCCAGCCTGTTCAGCCAATATCTCAAACCCTCCAACCCTGGCTTTCTGAACCCTTTCAAGTTTCACAACATCCTTCCTATAGCAGGGAGACCAGCATTGCACACGGCATTCCAAAAGTAGCCTAACCAATGACCTCCAGCCACAACATGACCTCCCAGATCCTATACTCGATGCACTGACCAATAAAGGCAAGCGTACCAAATGCCTTCTTCACTGCCCTGCCTACCTGTGACTCCACTTTCAAGGAACTATGAACCTGCACTCCAAGGTCTCTTTGTTCAGCAACACTCCCCAGAACCTTACTATTAAGTGTATAAGTCCTGCCCTGATTTGCCTTTCCAAAATGCAGCACCTCACATTTATCTAAATTAAACTCCATCTGCCACTCCTCAGCCCATTTGCCCATTTGATAATTACAGCACCAATCCCATAACTTATTCAGCTTCAACTACACGGAATCCTACTTGAGAGAGGTAGTCCATTTTGCTGACTATATTTGCACTGTCTCTTTGAAAGGACTATCCAGTTGGCACTATCCATCTGTTCCTTTATTATAGTCCCTGTTGCCCACGGAATGTACGGGCTCCTTTCAACTCCGTAATCAGAAAGCCTGTGGAACATGTTGTATCTTTTTCTTTTCATATCCCTGTAGGATGCGTATTCCAATTGAGAGGAGTTGGGGGGGGGGGGGGGGAAACAGCAGCAAGCTTTTGTGAGTTAAAACGTAGAGTGTTTTCGATTTCCGCACATTTTCCCCAAATTGATACAAATCGTGGGTTTCACACACACGAATACGCACAAAAATCGGATATAGATGCGGAAGATGTGAAAAGTGTGAGAGAGAGATGTAAAACGGTTCCAGAGGATGTGGGCAAGAACATAGCTGATGGAATAGAATGTGGGAAAAGAACGTGAGGTCATCCACTTTGGTTAGGAAAAATGGACGTACAGAGTCTCTTTATTTTTAAATGGTGAGAGGTTGGAAAGTGTAGATCTGCAAAGGGACAAAGGCATCCTTGTTGACAGGTTAATACGAGGGTCCAGCAAGCTATTAGACAGGCAAATGGCATCTTCACCTTTATCGCAAGATAGTTTGAGTACAGGACTGGCGAAGTCTTGCTTCAATTGCATAAGAGCTTGTTTATATTGCACTTGGAGTACCGTATGCAGTTTTGGCCTCTTTATCTCACGAAGGGAATGCAATGAGGGCTCACCAGGCTTGTTCCTGGGATGGTGGGACTGTCCTATGAAGGGAGATTGAGCAAACTGGGCCTCTGTTCTCTAGAGTTTTGAAGAAGGAGAGGCGATCACATGGAAATCTACAAAATACTTAAAGCAAGAGACAGGGTAGATGCAGGTGAGATGTTCTCCTTGTCCAGGGAATTTCTACAACTGGGGAGGGGGGCACAATTTTAAAAATGAAGGGGATGCCTTTTCAATTTGAAATGAGGAAAGTTTCTCCTTTTTCTCCGAGGATTGTGAATCTTAGGAATTCTCTATCCCAGAAGGCTGTGGAAGCTCAGTCTTTGAGTATGTTTAAGGTAGGGATTGTTGGATTTCTGATTAGAAGTGACATAAAGGGATGGGATGGGTAAAAGGTCTTGATGTATTCAATCAACCATAATCATAATATATGGTTGGTTCAGGCTCAACGGGCTGAATGACCCACTCCTGTTCCTATGTTCCCAGATGACTACCCTGCAATTCAACCTGTCTATGTCTGATGATCTGTGACTGCCCTTAGAGCAGATCCATGTTTTGTTTTGATAGATTCAAGATTCAAAGCTGGGCATTAGGGTTTTGTAAAGTTCAGGGCTTGCAGAAGCTTGTGAGGCTTCTTGCAGTCAAATAGCCAGAAGGTGGGTGCTGAGTGGAACCTTGAAGCCGGAGCTGAGATTTCCTGATCTGGCTGATGGCTGAGATAGATTATTCTGTTCAACTGACTGAGCTGTTGCTCAGTGTGTAAAAACAGACACAAAAACACAGCTGTCTCACCATGTGACCTCTGAGTCATGTTCATTCCTGTTAATATTCCTGAGGATTTGAGCCACTTGCTGTCTTTTGTCTTTGAGGAACCCATTCAAATCAATGTTTCATTTGGTTTCTGGGAAGGAAGTCAATGGACATTAATCTAGAATGTTCTTTTGTTGACATTAAGGTCTGTTCCAAATCACAGTGATTGTAATGAGGTCAAAGTGGGTTCCCTGAATGGGGCTGTTAATCTGCTAACTATTGACTCTGTCCATGTCTCCCATCATCTTGTGCATACCTGTCAGATCCCCTTCCTCAGCTCTAAACAAAACAGCCCTTTTTTTCCCCCTTTATTCATTCACGGGATATGGGCATTGCTGGCTAGGCAGCATTTATTACCCAGAGGGCAATTCAGAGTCAACCAGATTGGTGTGGGTCTGGAGTCACATGTAGGCCAGCCCAGGTAAGGATGGCAGTTTCCTTCCCTAAAGAACATTAATGAACCAGATGGGTCCCCCCCAGACAATTGGCAATGGACTTATGATCATCATTAGCCTATTAATCCCAGATATTTATTGAATTCAAATTCCACCATCTGCTGTGGTGGGATTCAAACCCAGATCCCCAGAACATCATCTGGGTGTCTGGATTAACAGTCCAGCGATAATACCACTAGGCCATTGCACCCCCCCCTGCTTATTCAACCTGCGAATAAGCCCATGCTTTTTCAACCTGCCTACAGAGCTAAGGGGAACATCCTGGTGAATCTCCTCCTCTGCACTTCCTCCAATACAACCATATCCTTCTAGTGGGGTGTGGTGCAGTACTCCAGGTGTGGCATAACCAAACTTCTATACAGTTTCGGCATGACCTCACTACTTTTATAATCTTAAAGGTCATGTGACCGTGCTATGTTCTGATTTATGCTTCTGCCCTGCTACGTTCTGAGGAATGAAGAGCTCACATCCTCTTGGATAATTCTATTCCCTTCTCTCTCCTCTTGTCCCTCCAGGTCAACCCGATTCCCGGAAGCCAAATGAGGTGCTTTTCGGAGCGATGGGATCTTCCGTCATATTGCCTGGATTCAGCAAAGAAGATTTTAAAAATGTCAAGCACGTCAAGTGGACATTCTCCAAGACAAAAATTCTCGACTATTATAGTGTGACGAACATACCTACCTTCACCAATTTTTATAAGTATCGATCTCAGTTCTTCTCTTCAAATGGATCATTGCTGTTAAAAAATGTCACAAAAAGTGACCGTGGATTGTACGAGGTGCAGATTAATTTAAATACCACCAAAGTGTTCCAACTAAATGTTCTCAGTAAGTGCTGCCTGGGGTGAGGAACTGTAGTGTCTGTTGGAGGCTTGGGCCTGTCTTTCTGCTCCCCAGACAGATGCACAGAATTCCCGAGAATTCCCCAGCAGCCAATGTTTCAAACCATCACTGCCTCGATTGGGGAGGGGCATATAGGTGGGAGAGCAGGGAGGAGATGTCGAGGGAAGGAGAGGATGTAGGAGGGAGGGTGGGGTAAGATAGGAAAGGGGAGATGATCCTGTTGGCTGTGATCTTATTGAGGGATGGAGCAAGGTTCTATTCCTGCTCTTAGGTCCAATGTTCCAATGTATCTCAGAACTTCATCCCTCCCGGAGGGTATTCTGCCAATCCAGCAGGTCAATTCCACATACTCGGAGTTTTCATACTAAGGGCGCCTCGCCACTCCTCCCCGTCCGCCATCTTTCCTTTTAGACCCAGCAGAGCGCATTTGAGGCACCATATGCACAGCAAGATCCCACAAACTGCAAAGCGAATGGTTCTAATTGTCTATGTGGCGCTGCTTCAGAGATTAAATAATGGCAGTTGACACTAATGTTGATGGAGGTGTATATGACCGCCGAAAGAATCTGGAGAATAAATTGTAGACAACCCAACTGTCTCCATAAATCGAGTGTGCAAACAGTGCTGCACGTTAAATAAACAAATAACTCTTGTGCCTTGGAATGTATTGTAGCTGTAGGAGAAATGTTCTCAGGGTGGAGGTACTTGAGCAGCTGGAAGGTTCATGTGTTACTTTGCTTCTTGTGTTGGTGACCATTGACACAAGTGCTGGTCTTCCATACCTTCACAGAGACACACTCAAGGAAGCACATCTCGTTTTAACGGCCGAGCCCCTGTTAGTTAACTGCACTGTTGTACAATGATACAGTGAGGTCCTCACGCTCAGACTTGTTTGTTCATTCATTTGTTTGTTCGCTCATTCATTCATTCATTCACTCACTCCCGCAGTTGCACTGTCAGAGCCTTCAGTCAGCAATAATTCAACTGACCTTGGTGCCACCATTGCGCTGAACTGTGGAGTGTCCGTCGGGGAAGTGGAATCCCGTCTCTGGTGGAAAGATGGAAAATTGGTAATGAGTGACCAACACCATTGGCTCCTGCAGGACAACAGCACGTTGATTATCATCGGGGCTGAAAAGTCGGATTGTGGCAACTACACTTGCAGCTTGGAGAATAGTGTCAGCAGCAAGAACGTTTCACATTGGCTTCCTATTTCTGGTGAGTCAAGCCCTCCCAATAGATTATTTCTTTGTTTTAAGACAATATTCCCACGGGACCCCCTTGTACTTTGCCTCAGTAATTCTCATTTGTGAATAACGTTCTCATTCTAACTACACCCTGACACTAACAGCAGTGGGGTGCTAAGCAGCTTCCTGATGTACGCTTGCAACATTGACCAGCAGTGCCATCAGCTCAGTGCGTGTTGTGACTATTGCTTGTGTTATCGCTCCTGCTGAGAAATGAACAGCTCTCGCTGTGATTGACTTGATGTGAGTATTCCAAAATTGTAAAGGTGCAGACAGAGTATGTAGGGAGCGAATGCAGGCATCAAGGGCAACTATTTCATGTATCTGACGAAAACATGAGGGAAAAAACCCTTTCAATAGACAGCAATTGGTCAGAAACTTCAATGGACTGCCTGACAGTGTGCTGGAGACAGATTCGATCAAGGCATTCCATGGTCAAATGCAGCAAGCGCTGGGTTATATTCAGGATTGGGCTTAAACGAGATGAGAAACATTTGTGCCTTATAGATGTCTGTCAGTAACCATCTCCAACAAGAGACAATCTAGCCATCGCCTCTTGGTGATCAATGGCATTGCCACACCATATCTCCAGCCCTCAACATCCTGGTGGTTACTGTTTAGCAGAGACTGAACTGGATGAGTCATATAAATACATTGGCTACAAGAGCTGGTTAGAAACTGGGAATACTGCGGTGAGTAACCCACCCCCTGACTCTCACAAAGATTGACCACAAGGCAGGAGTGTGATGGAATACTCCCCACTTGCCTGGATGAGTGCAGCCCCAACAACATTCAAGAAGCTTGACACTATCCAGGACAAAGCAGCCTGTTTGATTGGGACTACATCCACAAATATCCCCTCCCTCCACCATCAACGCTCAGTAGCAGCAGTGTGTACTGTCTACGAGGTGCGCTGCAGCAATTCACAAAGGATCCTCAGACAGCACCTTCTAAACCCACGACTAATTCCATCCAGAAGGTCCCCTCCAAGCCACTCACCATCCCAACTCGGAAATATAATTGTTATTCTTTCTGGATTTAATCTTAAGGGAAATGAGGCTGGGCAGATGGATGAAGTAGATCTGGATGGCAGTTTTAGAATCCCTACAGTGTGGGAGCAGGCCATTCTTCCCATACTGACCTTCCAAAGAGCATCCCACCCAGACCCACCACATAACCCTGCTTTTTCCATGGCTAACCCACCCAGCCTACACATCTGTGGACACTATGGGCAATTTAGCATGGCCAATCCACCTAACCTGCACATCTTTGGACTGTGGGAGGAAACTGGAGCACCCAGAGGAAACTCACGCAGACACGGGGAGAATGTGCAAACTCCACACAGACAGTCTCCCAAGGGTGGGATTGAACCTGGGTCCCTGGTGCTGTGAGACAGCAGTGCTAACCACTGAGCCAAACATGCTGCCACAGAGATGCCGGTCATAATGCAGTTAGATTTAACATCGTTATGGAAAGGAGCAATGCTAGAACAGGAGTAAAGGGTTCTAAACTGCAGCAAGGTAAACTTTACAAAGCTGAAAAATGATCTGGAAAAGGTGGGCTGGCAGAGGGAGCCATTGAGAAGTGGGCACTGAGTGGGCATGTCCTCACACAGAGAAAGAGTGGTACCATGATATCTAAAGCTCCCTGGTTACCCAAAAGCAGGCAGGTTACGATGAGGCAGAAAAATATAGCTCGTGGCAATCTTGGAAAAGTAACCATTTAAGTGGCTTAGAGGAATTTAGGGAAGTGCGGGGTGAATTGAAAAGGAATTTCCTTGAAATAAAGGAAAGGCCAAAAATGTTTTATCAGTGCGTTACGAACAAGACGATGATTAGGGAAAGAATTGGGCTATTCAGGGACGTGCATGATAACGTGTGTGAATAGAGAAGATGTGGCCAGATTTCTGAACGAATACCTTATCTTCACAATGGAGAGGCATGATGTGGCTTTTTCAGTTTAGGGGTAAGACTGTGAAAGCCTAGATAAAATAAGCACATTGAGCAAGGAAATACCAGAGGGTCTGAGCACCTTGAAGGTCAGCAGGGCTGGAAGAATTGCCCTTCTAGATTGCTAAAGGAAGACAGAGAGTATGCAGCGGGTACCGCAAAATTGAAGCAAAGAACAGCAGATGCTGGAAATGGGAAACAAGAAAGAACAGAAGTTGCTGGAGAAACCCGGCAGGTCTGGCAGTATCTGGGGAGTGAAAGCAGAGTTAACATTTCCAGTCCAGTGACCCTGCTTCAGAACGAGAAGCAGTTCAGGAAAAGTGGCATTTTGTTCTGATGACAGCGGTTTGGGAGGCGGTGGGGGATGGGAGGAGTGAGCGGATTGGCAGAGACAGAGCCCAGAAAGAGAAAAAGGTCGACAGATAAAGGGATAGTTGATGATAAACCAGCGAAGAGAAGGGAGACAAATTTGATCGATACTCTGAGGATCATTTACCAATCTTTATTAGATACAGGCAGTTTTTCAGAGGACTGAAGGCCTGTGAATATTGTAACATTATTCAAAAAGGTTGCGAGGGGTGGTCTAAATAATTCATGGCCAGTGACTCAGATCTCAATGTTGGATCAATATTTAGAGATAGGGATAACAGAGAAAGTCATGGATTATCAGGGAGAGGCAGCATTTTTTTCTTAAGGAATCCATCACCAATCCACTCCGCTTCTGCCTGCAAGGCTTTCTACACTTAATCATAGGATCCCTACATGTAGAAACAGGCCATTTGTCCCATCAAGTCCACACTGACCCTCTGCACCCCACCCATCAACCCCACACATCCAATGGCTAACTCATCTAACCTGGGCACTTTGGCATGGCCAATCCATCTAACCTGCACACCTCTGGACTGTGGGAGGAAACCCACACACACAGGGAGAACATGAAAATTCCACAGTTGATGGAGGATGGAATCGAACCTGGGTCCTCCGGCATTATGAGGGAGCAGTGCTAACCACTGAGCCACATCATCATTTATCTTTGCTGTCCTTCTCAAACAGGTTATCCTTCTTGAGTAGGCCAGTCAGCTTCCGAACCTGTCACCCAGTCACTAAGATGGTGACTGATCTGATTGGGATCTTAACTCTACATTTCTGTCTATCTCCATCGCCCTGAACTCACTTGTCCATCACAGACTTGTCTAATTCAGGCTTGAAAATGTTCAGTGACTGTGAAAGAGAATGAAGAAGGTTAGCGATCCTCTGAGGGAAGAGCTTCCTCCTCATTTCCATCTTAAATGGGGTTTGTACACTGTGCCAGCCAGTTCTAAGTCTTCGCCCATGAGGTCTGGTATCATCTCAACGTTGATCCTCCACAGAAGACTCAGTGGTTAGCACTGCTGCCTCACAGCGCCAGGGACCTGGGTTCAATTCCAGCCTCGGGTGACCGTGTGGAGTTTGCACATTCTCCCCGTGTCTGTGTGGGTTTCCTCCCACAGTCCAAAGATGTGCAGTTAGGGTGAATTGGACATGCTAAATTGCCTGTAGTGTGCAGCTTAGGTGGGTTAGCCATGGGAAATGCAGGGATAGGATAGGGTCTGGGTGGGATAACCTTCAGAGGGTCAGGGTAGACTCAATGGGCTGAGTGGCCAGCTTCTACACGGTAGGGATTCCATGAATTCCGCTTTAAGAATATGCAAGTTGAGAACAAGAGTAGGCCATTCAGCCTCTTAAAGCCAATCTGCTATTTAAAGAGATCTCATGATTGATCTGATTGTAACCTCAAATCCACATTTGTGTATAATTTGCAGATACATTTTCACTCCTTTGCTTGTTGAGAATCTATCCACCTCAGAGTTGGGGGAGCTGGTGCAGGGTGTTGGGGATTCACCTTTTGGGAATTTGAACATTGTGGATCCACATTTTGGGAATTCCACAGGGTCCTGCCGTGCATCCTTTTGTCAATATTGTTGGCCTGACAAACTTCAGGTGGAATTTTTGGGCCCAGTTTTTAAGAAACAGCAATTGTAGCTTGGAAACTGGAATTTTTAAAGTCTAGATAAATGTGTCGATTGAGATGCCTGCAAGTTCCTGAGGTAAGTCAATTGAAAGAATTCTGGGTTAATTATAGTTAAAAGTGTACAAACCGAAAGAACTGCAGATGCTGTGAATCAGTAACAAAAACAGAAGTTGCTGGAGAAAACAAGGTGTAGAACTGGATGAACACAGCAGGCCAAGCAGCATCAGAGGAGCAGGAAGGCTGACGTTTCGGGCCTAGACCCTT